AGCCCTTGGAGGAATAGGGCCAGGAAAGCATGCAGTTTCTATAGCCTAAAAAGCAGGCACAGCTGGAAGGCAAAAATAGATCCCCAAAAATTAAGGGTCTCATTTTTATACCGGTTCCTGGATCCCCCAAAAAAGAAATGCTATGAAACAAGACAGTGCAATAATTTTACCACACATTTAATTGCTAGGAAACCCGAAGCCAATCAACCCATTCTGTGATAACCCATCCCACATGGGAGTCTTATGTCTGGGTGGGGGGGAAGGGCATTTCCAACTTTTTAGGTGGTCAAGAGCATGCTTTTCTGATCCAAAAAAGCAAAGAACCATATATTCCCAAACAAGTGCCGTTAGTTATTTACCAAAGTATATTTCCTATTTAGTTATTGCACTCCAAAGCTCTCTCATAATTCAAAGTAATTTCTGATGCTCCCCCAAATCAAAACCATCACATAACACAATGCAAAACAGAACACAGTCTTCGATTTTGAGAGGAATCTATCCACTTTTAATTCCTAGGGTTTCCATGAGGAAAACAGAGGTTTTTCCCAAAACGTGGTCTGTAGCGCTTCCTGTTTTCCCCAAGGAGTTCCATGATGTTAGAACTTGAATAAGCTGACGTTTAACCATAGTGCTCTTAAAAAATCATTTAAAATCTCTTATTACCCAACTTTAGCCAGGCCAAACTGCCAAGGCTGAGTCTAAATATCCAAGTGTTCACTTTGTGACTTTTCTTTCAGATGTTGCCCTTTTTTTTTTTTTTGAGATGGAGTTTTACTCTTGTTGCCCAGGCTGGAGTGCAATGGAGTGATCTCGGCCCATTGCAACTTCCGCCTCCTGAGTTCAAGCCAATCTCCTGCCTCAGCCTCCTTAGTAGCTGGGATTATAGGCATGCGCCACCATGCCCAGCTAATTTTGTATTTTTAGTAGAGACAGGGTTTCTCTATCTTGGTCAGGCTGGTCTTGAACTCCTGACCTCAGGTGATCTGTCCACCTCGGCCTCAGGTGATCCATCCACCCTTAGTCAGGGTTCTCTACAGGGACAGAACTAATAGGATATATATACACACACACACACACACACACAAACACACACACATATATATCTTATTTTTTGAGACACAAAATGGGAATTTATTATAAGGATAATGAAGTGTTTCAAGGAATGAACGGAGGCCTCAGGAATGGACTGGAACCAGAAAATGGAAAGCTATAGGGAGTGCTTTTTTTTAAAATTATACTTTAAGTTCTTGGGTACATGTGAGGTTTGTTACATATGTATACATGTGCCATGTTGGTGTGGTGCACCCATTAACTCATCATTTACATTAGGTATATCTCCTAATGCTACCCCTCCCCACTCCCCCCACCCCACAACAGGCCCCGGTGTGTGATGTTCCCCTTCCTGTGTCCAAGTGATCTCACTGTTCAATTCCCACCTGTGAGTGAGAACATGCGGTGTTTGGTTTTTTGTCTTTGTGATAGTTTGCTGAGAATGATGGCTTCCAGCTGCATCCATGTCCCTACAAAGGACATGAACTCATCCTTTTTTATGGCTGCATAGTATTCCATGGTATATATGTGCTCCATATTCTTAATCTAGTCTATCATTGATGGACATTTGGGTTGGTTCCAAGTCTTTGCTATTGTGAATAGTGCTGCAATAAACTTACATGTGCATGTGTCTTTATAGCAGCATGATTTATAATCCTTTGGGTATATACCCAGTAATGGGATGGCTGGGTCAAATGGTATTTCTAGTTCTAGATCCTTGAGGAATCGCCACACTGTCTTCCACAATGGTTGAACTGGTTTACAGTCCCACAAACAGTGTAAAAGTGTTCCTATTTTTCCACATCCTCTCCAGCACCTGTTGTTTCCTGACTTTTTAATGTATATATCTTATTATTGTGGGACCTTGTGATCGTGTGAGTTAATGCTACTTAATAAACTCCCATATATGTATATGTATACTTATTTATTATAATTATTATAATTAATGTATGTATATCTACTATGTATATATGTGTATGTATATATACATATGTGGGAGTTTATTAAGTAGTATTAACTCACACGATCACAAGGTCCCACAATAGGCCGTCTGCAAGCTGAGGAGCAAGGAAGCCACTCTGAGTCCCAAAGCTGAAGAACTTCGAGTCTGATGTTTGAGAACTTGGAGTCTGATGTCTGAGGGCAGGAAGCATCCAGCATGGGAGAAAGATGTAGGCTGGGAGGCTAAGACAGTCTAGCCTTTTCACGTTTTTCTGTCTGCTTTATATTCTAGCCAAGCTGGCAGCTGATGAGATGGTGCCCACACAGATTAATGTTGGGTCTGCCTTTCCCAACCCATTGATCCAAATGTTAATCTTCTTTGGCAACACCCTCACAGGCACACTAGCATCAATACTTTGCATCCTTCAATCCAAGCGAGCTGACAATCAGTATTAACCATTACAGAAGCCAATCTCCACATGCAAGTATTCCAAGAAGATGATGAAAATCATGTCCCTGACATGGAAATCAAGGCACTTTCACCACATTCTACTGGTCAAGGAAGTCATTAAGGTAAGCCCAGATTGAAGAGGAAGGGATTCAATTCCACCTTTCAATGGGAAGAACAGAAAGAATTTGTGGCTACCTTAAACCTATCACTTAGAGTTTCCAATAGTTTAAAGAATAATTGATTTTTTAGAACAGCATTAGGTTTACAGAAAAATTAAGAAGCTAGTATAAAAAGCTTCCAAATACCTTGAAACCAGCTTCCCCTATTTTTAACTTCTTACATTAGTATATTTATTATAATTAATGAAAGGATATTGATACCCCGTTAGTAACTAAAGTCCATAGTTTATTTAGGTTTTCTTCATTTTCACCAGATGTCCTCTTTCTGTTCCAGAATCCTATTCAGGACACATTGCATTTAGTTGTCCCATCTCTTTAGCCTCCTCTTGACTGTGACAGTTTCTCAGATTTTTCCTTGTTTTTGATGACCTTCACAGTTATGAGCAGTACTGGTAAGGAACTTGCTTATTTTCCGGCACAAGTTGCTTCAGATCCTTACCAGGGTCTGAAAGGCGCTGGTAAGGTTGTAGAATATCCCTATTGGAATTTGTGTGATTTTTCCCCCTAATGATTAGACTGACATTATTGGTTTTGGGGAGCAAGATAACAGAGATAAAGTACCATTTCTATCACATCCTATCAAGGAGATACTGTCAACCTGATTTATCACTGATGATTATGACACTGATTACCTGGCTAATGTGGTATTTTTCTCCAGTGTAAAGTTACTCTTTTTCTCCCCTTTCCACATTGAAGTCTTTGGAACCAGGTCATTATTTGCAGCCTGCATTTTAAAAAGTGAGGAGTTGGGCTTTCCTTCCTTGATGGTGCTGTATTTATATACATTACTTGGAATTCTTCTGTATTGGAGATTTGTCTCTTCTCCTCACTTATTTATTCAATCATTTAATTATACCAGTAGGAACTCATGAATATTTATTTTAAACTTTGGGTTTATCTTTTTTTTTTTTTTTTTTTTGAGACGGAGTCTGCTCTGTCGCCCAGGCTGGAGTGCAGTGGCGCAACCTCAGCTCACTGCAAGCTCTGCCTCCTGGGTTCACATCATTCTCCTGCCTCAGCCTCCCCAGTAGTTGGGACTATAGTCGCCAGCCACCGCACCCGGCTAATTTTTTTTTTTTTTGTATTTTTAGTAGAGACGGGGTTTCACCATGTTGGCTAGGATGGTCTCAATCTCTTGACCTCATGATCCGCCCGCCTCAGCCTTACAAAATGCTGGGATTACAGGCGTGAGCCACCGCGCCCGGCAAACTTTGGGTTTATCTTAGTCCATTCCTGCTGCTATAACAAAATACCTTAGACTGGGTAATTTATAAACAACAAAAATTTATTTCTCACAGTTTCTGAAAGTTTGAAAGTCCAAACTTTCAAACACCTGCAGATTCAGTGTTTGGTGAGGGCTGCTCTCTGTTTCAAAGATGACATCTTCTCCCTGTGTCTTCACATGGCAGAAAGGGGAAACAAGAATGGACTTCCTCAAGCACTTTTATAAGGGCACTAATCCTACTTATGAGGGAGGAGCCTTCATAACCTAATCACCTCCTATAAACCTACCTCTTAATACTGTTGCATTGAGGATTAAGTTTCAATGTGAGTCTTTGAGGGACACAAAAATTCAGACCACAGTTGGGTCATAACCCAATACCACCGAATTCATTTCTTGCTCATATTGTTCCAGCTTTGGCCACTGCGAGCTCTTCTGTTGGCCTGTGTGCCCATGTGGGGTTTTATCATTATTGTAATTGTTATTTTCAGCACTTCCTTATTTTCTGGCACAAGATGTTCCAGATTCATCATGTATATTTTCTGTCCCAGATCTAGAATATGCCATTTCTCCAAGGACTGTGCAGTCCCTTTTTACACCTCTTTCCTTTTATTCTGTGGTTCTAGTTCTTCCCTGATCCTCATAAAAGTTTTGGTCAAATTGTATACATTTTCCCGGTTAGTTTTATTAAATAAAACTAACCGGGAAAATGTATACGATTTGTATATATGTATGAATACATGTATTTATATATGTATTAATACATATATTTATATGTAAAATATATAAATTATATATACTTATATATAAATTATAATTATATAAGTATATAATATAAAAATTATATGTTATATATATTATTTATATAAATAATTTGTAATAAATAGAAATAATAAATATCCTGGTGTTGTCAACTTTAAATGCCCAGAAATATGTAAAAGTGAAAACAAAACTCTTGATTTAAAGATACGTTTCACTCTACCTTTCCTGGCTGCCCGGCACTTCCACCTATGCATCTTCCTTGTTTACTGACCTAGTTTCTGTTCTTTTGGTGCTGGAAGCACAGACAGGGGTGAGAGAGGGCGATAAGCTTCTCCTTGATTCCTAACATTATTGTGATTAGCCATGAACTTTGCAAATAGGTAAAGCGGCTTACCTCAAAGGCCGCTTTTGGCTTCTCTAGAGACACAAATGCTGAGGATCTCTCATCTGAGCATCCCTCGAGGAGGGCTATTGCGTCTTGATTCCATCTGGGTAGTTACAGGCCTCATCCACCATGAAAAGTTTCCAACCCAGAGTCAGGCTGCAGCTGAGCTGACGGGCGTGGTGCAGACGTCGGTGCAGCTAAAGCTGAGGAGCCGTGGGCATTCACCGGGGTGCTGGCGTTTCTAAATCGCGGGCTGTGACCTGAAGAGTCGGGTGCCGGCTGACAGCAGAGGCCGACTTGCGAGACCAGAACTCCTGCGTGTGACTTGGAATCTCAGTCGCGCTATGGGAGTGCACGCTGGCTCAAATCCCCATGGAAGATGCACCTGTGACCTGCCCACGCTGCAAAACCAGGTGCGCTGCCGTGGGCACGACTCACCGCGCTCCATTTTCACCGCGGGGAACTTAGACCGCCTGACATTGAAAGAGACGGCCATGGGGACTGGAAGTAGCTCCGGGACAGCCAAGAGAAACCAGAGTGGAGGATCCCGGTACCATTCAGGAAGCGAACCTAGCCGCAAACTCAGGAGTGTTCCAAGTGTCCAGTGCGTCTGGTAGCCGCAGTAGCCAGTCATCAGCGACACCCTCAAGAAAGCAATAGCGGCAGAAACATGGCGGCTACCTACACCGCCGCTCCGGTGCGCCCCCGCGCGAGCTCTGCTGGACGCGACCGCGCTAGCTCCGCACTGGAGGCTCCCGCGGGAGCTCTGCAAGGCGGAGTCCGCTGCTCTAGTCTCTGAGCAGTCTCCTGTTGCCACCTAGGGAGGAATACTGGGATAGCGGCTGGAGTACCGTGTCGCAGGATAGTTGTTTTGAGAACCTCTAAAAGTCATACAGTGCTATATTGGGTGCACGCTAAACGTGCCTTTGACACTGTGATTAAATCATATAACCCATATAAAAAGTGATTGGAAAAGACAACCCCCAGAATGGAAAGAATGTTTGCAAATCATATTTCTGATAAGAGACTACTATCCAGAATATATAAAGGACTCCTAAATTCAACAACGGGAACAAACAACTCATTTAAGAGACAGGAGAAGGACTTGAATAGACATGTCTCTAAATAAAATACACAAATGGCCAATAATTACATGAAAAGATGCTCAACATCACTGATTACCTGGGAAATGCAAATCAAAATAACTTGGAGATAGTACTTCACTCCAACTAGAATGGCTATTAACCAAAAAAAAAAAAAAAAAAAAAAAACCAAAAAGGGAAATTAACAGGTGTTGGTAAACATATGGAGATACTGAAACCCTCGTGCATTGCTGGTGGTAATGTAAAATGGTTCAGCTGCTGTGGAAAACAATGGTAGTTCCTCAAAAAGGTAAATATAGAATTAATATATGACCCGGCAATCCCAATCGTAGGTATATACTCCACACCATTGAAACAGGGACTCAAACAGGTATTGACATCACTGCTTATATCAGCATTATTTATAGTAGCCGAAAGATGGAAATAACCCAAGTGTCCATCGACAGATGAATGAATAAACAAAATGTGGTATTTTGATACAATGGCGCTGACTACTAACCCCTTCTCTGCTGGAAATTAACATCGGATGGTCTTCTCCCAATTTTTTTTTTTTTTTTTGAGATGTTGTCTTGCTTTGCTGCCCAGGCTGGAGTGCAGTGGCTTGATCTCAGCTCACTGCAACCTCCACCTCCTGGGTTCAAGCAATTCTCCTGCCTCAGCCTCCTGAGATGCTGGGACTACAGGCATATGCCATCACACCCGACTAAGTTTTGTATTTTTAGTAGAAATGGGGTTTCAGCATGTTGGCCAGGCTGGTCTTGAACTCCTGACCTCATGATCCACTGATCTCGACCTCCCAAAGTGTTGGGATTATAGGTGTGAGCCACCGCACCCGGCCTTCTTAATTTCCCTCCTCCTCTTTCTTTCTTTTTCCTCCTCCTCTTCCTTCCCCTCCTCCTCCTTCTTTTAAAGTTTTAAATTGAGGTTCAATTCACTTACAGTAAACTGTTACCCATTTAAGTGTACATTTTGGCAAATTTGACTCATTCACCCATGAATCACCACAATCATGGAAAACATTTCTATCACCCCCAAAATGTTCTTTGTCCATATTCTAGTTAAATCTCCCAATCCCTCCCACCTCAGGTAGCCATTAGTCCATTTTCTGTCACCATAGATGAAATTTTTTTGTTTTCTAGAATTGCATATAAATGGAGTGATATGTATGTAGTCTTTTGTGTCTGGTGTCTTTCACTCAGTGTTTCACTATAATGTTTTTAAGATTCATTCATGTCATTGCATGCATTCGTAGTTCTTTTTATAGTTGATGTGTTGTAGTCAGTTGTATAGATATATCACAATCCACTTATTCAGTCACCTGCTGATGGACTTTTGGGTTGTGTCCCATCTTTGGATATTATGAACAAAGACTTGTGTACAATAATAAATTGTACACTTGTTTATAATAAATTGGCAAACTGTTTCCCAATGTGGTTGTCCCAATTTACATTCCAACCAGTAATTCTAGTGATGTGTAGCAGAATCCCATGTTAGTTTTAATACATTTTTATTTTTAATTGACAAATAATAATTGAACACATTCGTGGGGTACATACTGATGTTTCAATACACGTAAGTACCTGGTGATCGTAACTGGCATATCCATCATCTCAAACATTTATCATTTCTTTGTGTTGGGAACATTCAGTATCCTCTTTCTACCTATTTGAAACTACATAATATAACTGTTAACTATAGTCATTCTACAGTGTTATAGAATACTAGAATTTATTCCTCCTACCTAGCTGTGTTTGTATTCTTTAAAAATCTCTCTCTATCCCTCTTTCTCCCTACCCTTCCCAGCCTCTAGTAACCACTGGTCCACTTTTCACTTTTATGAGATCAGCATTTTTCAGCTTCCACATATGAGTGAGAAGACGCAGTGTTTAACAGTTCCTGGCTCTATTCACTTAACATAATGTCCTTCAGTTCCATCTATGTTGCTGCAAATGACAAGATTACATTCTTTCTTATGCTGAATATTATTTCACTTGTATATATAACACATTTTCTTTTACATTCATGTGTTGTTGGACACCGAGATTGATTCCATATCTTAGCTCTTGTGAATAGTGCTATAATAAACATGGGGTGCAGATGTCTTTCTAATATGATTTCCTTTTTAAAAAAATAAACGCCCAGTAGCGGGATTGCTGGATCACATGCTAGTTCCATTTGTATTTTATTGAGGGACCTCCATACTATCCTTTCTAGTGACTGTACTGGCATTCCCACCAACAGTATATAACATTCCTGCCAACAGCATATAAGAGTTCCTCCTCCACTTTTTTCTTTCGTGGGGTGGGGAGGAGACAGAGTCTCACTCTGTGGCCCAGGCTGGAGTGCAGTAGAGTGATCTCCGCTCACTGCAACCTTTGCCTCCCAGGTTCAAGCGATTCTCCTGTCTCAGCCTCCCGAGTAGCAGGCACCCATCACTATGCCTGGTTAATTTTTTTTATTTTTTATTTTTTTAATTTTTTTAGTAGAGATGTGGTTTTGCCATATGGCCCAGTCTGGTCTCAAACTCCTGACCTCAGGTGATCCACCTCCTTTGGCCTCCCAAAGTGTTGGGATTACAGGCGTGAGCCACTGCACCCGGCCAGAGTTCTCACTTTTCTGCATTTTTGCCAGCCTTTATTATTTTCTTTTTATCTTTTTGATAATAGCCCTCTTAACTCAGGTGAGATGATGCCTCTTTGTGGTTTTTATTTACATTTCCCTGATTAGTGGTGTTGAGTATTTTTTATATTTGTTGATTATTTGTGTGTATTCTTTTGAAAAATGTCTATTCAGATTATCTGCCCATTTTAAAATCCAATTTTGTTTTTGCTATTGAGATTTTTGCGTTCTTGTCTATTCTGGATATTAATCCCCTATTGGATGAGTAGTTTGTGAATATTTTCTCCCATTCTTCCCATTCTGTAGGTTGTCTCTTCAATTTGCTGATGGCTTCCTTTGCTGTACAGAAGTTTTTTTTAGGTATATATAGTCAGATTTGTTTATTTTTAATTTTGTTGGTTGGGCTTTTGAGGTCTTATTCATAAAATCTTTTCTCAGACCAATGTCCTGAAGTGTTTTCCTCATATTTTTTTTCATCTAGTAGTTTTATCATTTTGGGTCCTACATTTAGATTTTTGGTCCATTCTGAGTTGATTTTTGATGTGGTGAGAGGTGGGGATGTAGTTTCTTTATTCTGTATATGGATATCCAGTATTCTCAGCACCATTTATTGAAGAGACTGTCCTTTACCTCTTGAGTGTTCTTGACATCTTTGTCAAAAATCAGTTGGCTGTAGACATGTGGATTAATTTCTGGATTTTTCTATTCTTCTCCATTGGTCTATGTGTCTGTTTTTATGCCAATATCATGCTGATTTGGTTACTACAGCTTTGTAGTATATTTTGAGGTCTGGTAGTGTGATGCCTCCAGCTTTGTTCTTGTTGTTCAGGATTGCTTTGGATATTTTGGGGCCTTTTTTGGCTTCATTCAAAGTTTAGGAATTTTTTTTCTATTTCTGTGAAGAACGTCATTGTTATTTTGGGATTGCACTGAATCTGTAGGTTGTTTTGGATAGTATGGTCATTTTACTTTTTTTTTTTTTTTTTTTTTGAGACGGAGTCTCGCTCTGTCGCCCAGACTGGAGTGCAGTGGCGCGATCTCGGCTCACTACAAGCTCCGCCTCCCGGGTTCACGCCATTCTCCTGCCTCAGCCTCCGGAGTAGCTGGGACTACAGGCACCCGCCACCACGCCCGGCTAATTTCTTTTTGTATTTTTAGTAGAGACGGGGTTTCACCGTGTTAGCCAGGATGGTCTCGATCTCCTGACCTCGTGATCCGCCCGCCTCGGCCTCCCAAAGTGCTGGGATTACAGGCTTGAGCCACCGCGCCCGGCCGGTCATTTTACTTTTTAAATGGTTTTATTTTATGTGCAAATAATGAACAGATGTTGTACCCATAAATTCTACTTCCCCAAAACAGGAGCTCTTTGAAAGAAAACCACATAATAACTTTTAAAAGGGACTGGGATTCCTCTGCTTCTAGATCATTGATAGGCTAGAAAAACAAAGTTTCTTCTACCAGGAATCTCAAGTTAGAACTGAGTATTCTCCAAAGTGGAACTTCTAGAGTGTAGTGTAATTTCAAGCAGAGATTATTCAGTTCTCATCGCCAACATTCACAACTACCTATCAGAAGGGTTAAACTAGGTCAAAACAGTCTAGCATAATTAGGCTTCATCAAACAATGTCACTATGCTCATCTAAGATGCAAAGAAACCAAAACAGGAAATACTAAAATCAAAATAATATTTGACACTGTCATACAAATTGTTAGTTACTTCTTGTATCCCCCTTCTATAACATTAATAAAGAGAATATTTTACTGCAAAAAGTATTTTATTTTATACATCACTAGCCATGAATTTTTGCCATTAGTTATTATACAAATGCTGCCTCGTGCCATTATCCAAATGACATAACCATTTTACGTCCACAATTCACTTCTATAGTTATAAGTGGAATTATCATGATTTACATAAGTACATCTATCAGTGATGATTTAACACTGAGATGCAATCTAACATCCATAATATCTGAAGTTTTGCAGATGGCAATGTAGGAAAGATATATTTTAATCAATTTTCATTT